GGGTGCCAAAAACACTCTGCTTTAAATGTTTAATTTGGTATATATTAAACACAAAACAACAGCTGTCAATGTTGATGTTACTACCCCTCTATATCTCTTCTTCTGTTTAAAAGCTTATAACTATCAAAAGTCATTGCAATGCATGGGATGTATTTTATACAGAAACAACTACATACAACCAGCCACTGCTTTGTCTGATGTATTAGTTCTATAATGGCGTACAGTAGAACCTCAAGTATTAAAGGGTGATTCTGGTAAGCTATAAGGTTTTTGCTAGAGAATGATAAAAGCTTCTGAGAGAGAGGGACTAAGGTAAAAACTATGTCCAGGTGAAAGTGATCAGGTCAATCTTGACTTCAATGAGAACTTGACTTACCATCTAAATGTGGAAGAAACTCATAGCGCCCAATGTATACTAACTGGGTAAAAGGTTGTCATGAGTTGAACTAATTATACAGGAGTTCAGTGGATTTTGCCTAGGATTGCTAAGCTGGTATCTGTTGTTGAACAACCATAGAGAGTTGGGCTTGATTTTTTTTGTAAATACCTAAAGAGTAAATTCTTGAGTTTTCATCTAAGACTAATCCCAGCCTGGTGCTTAGTGACTTAATCCCTAGTATTGCATCTATCAATCCTGTTTAAAAAGAAATGGTTTAAATGAAAAATGACTAACACACAGCATCTCCTATATTTCCAGAGTTAATAGAACATTGCATAAATATATGTATGCAAAGTTTCCATACTCCAGCAGTGTAGCTTTTGATATTTAAAATTGTATCTGGTTTTCAGAGGTTGGGGTAACAGGTTTCCTCAAAGGCTCAGACCTTAGAGACATCCCCTGCTCATTAGGGTCTCAAAGGTCACTGTGAATAAAAATGGTTACCATACAGAATATGCAATTTAAAAAAACACTGAATAGTATTTTTTATAATGTGTTAGGATTTCAGTGGTCTTATATTGGTGTGACACGATTTCCCCTTTCATCAAAGTAAAAAAAAAAAAGTAAATTCTAAAAAAAAGGGCAATGTTAAAATTATCATTGCCGTACAATTCTAGATATGGCTCAAGTCAATGGAGGGTTCAAGTCACTTTATGCTAGAGAGACTAAAATCTGCCAGTCTGTACGGGCACACCATATTTCATTAGTGTGGTCCCTTTTACTGCCAGTGCCCCCTCTGGTAGCAAAAGTGTTAAATCCAGTGAAGGAAGTGTGCTTTGCTTTTAGGAGATGGAGATGAGGCAATAAATGTATGTCAGATTTGGATGCTTCCCTTTAAAAGCCATGGGTGGGGGAGGGGGGTATTTTGTAATATAGAATGTTATCTCTTCAGCAGTATTAAGCTTCCACAGTAACACAAATACATTTAAAAAAAATAAAAACTTTTTTACCCATTTTGAAAAAGGAAACAAAACCGTAGACACTAATCAGGTGCAGCAGCAGAAAATAAGACAGGAGGGGGTTGAGGAAAAGTAGATAAAAACTGTATTAAAAAATAATAATCTTAAACATTATATATGAAGTGTGTTCATCTGATCAGAGTTAGGCTTTTAACACTGTATCATTGAGAGGTTGCTTTGAGGCACAATTGGCTGTTCCCGAATGAAATATGTCCCACTATGTGTCAGATGCCGACTAAATGGCTTTTTAAATGGAGCTGAAATTATTTTGATGTGTACACATCTCGGAGTTTTAATACAACCCACTGTTAAAATGAAGCATCCAGACCCGTCTCTTTAAAACCTCATTCATAATTCAGATACTGTGATGTGTTTTAAGAGATCTGGGGAGCTCTAAAAAGAAAAGGATTAAACTGAAATATTCCACTTTTATGGCTGTGACAGTTAACCTCTACAGCACTAAGCTGGTTTGAAAACAATTCCGGAGTTAAATAAAAACAGTGAGCTGTGTTTTTATTTTTACCCATATTAATGACTATGATTAGCCTATTATGAAGAATTATTTCACAAGAAATTATTTGTTCAGAATACATAATTCTTCATCGGGAATAAATGGAGTTCTACATTTGATGTGTCGATAATGCTGCGCTAGATCGCTAGACTCCTTAAGAACAAAAAAAAAGTTAATTTGATGCTTAATACAATTGAGGCCAGTTAGACGCAGAAAAATGTTAATGCAAATAAAAACATTGTAAACAACGAGCCCAATTCGGAAGCTTAATACACTGCTGAATAGTTAACTCCCGACCTTCTAATCAAGCATAAGACTCTAAAAGTACAATTCCAGTTGATTTTATTTGTTTACTATTTATTTTCCAAGTAGATGCTTTGAGTATTATTGCCTTCACCTTATGACGGTCGTAAAAAAAGAAATGTTAGTAATAAAGGCTGCCCTTTATCACAAACAGCAATATTTCATCCATCCCCAATGGAAATATCTATGGATAGAGCTATAATCTCTATCAATCTGACTACATTGCCTAGATTTTTTTTTTTTCCCATTCCCCCACCTCTTTGGTTTCCATCACGGCTGCCTTCTCTTCCTCACAGTTTTTTATTTATTTTTTTTATGCTCATGTTTTGGTTTATTTTGTTGATGAGCATCAAATTCTTTGGCTTGCAGCACTAACTATGCCTCTATCTCCCTCTCTCCCATTTTGTCTTACCTTGACTCCCACCCCTTCATTCTTTGTTGTATCCTAACTACCCTGCGGTTGCTAATTCCTTTATCAACTTGTTGATCCACTCCTCAAACCCACAATCAATAATTCTTTCCATAATTTCTATTATTTATGTTTTTACTTTGCTTTATTTTCTAATACATCCTGCCATCCTCAAATTGCACCCATTTCTGCTGTTATTACACATATTCTTTTAAAACAAACATACTCTGTGCATCTCCTACCTCACTCTTACCACCAAACATTTGTTTCGAAATCACCCCATGCTTTGCTTTCTCCTTCTGTTCTTACTGTACCTACATACTCAATTCCTACTGGCTGTCCGTGTCTGCATGCTTCTCCCTATTACCCACGCACTGCCCCCATCCCGTCTATCCTTACATTTTGTCTCACAGCAGAAAAGAGATGGTATACAGATGAAATGGATAATCCATACCCTAGAAACATTCAGATTAAGCCAATGAGTACACACATGGCTAATCAGATTAATCAGTACAAATCGACGAGCAGCTTGATACCGCCAATCCGAGAGGTTGAAGATGAATGTTGATCTAAAAAAAAAAAAGACTTTTTTTTTACGGAAAGAAAATATAAAACGAGAAGAAAAAAAAAAACCACATACTCACAGAACCCAGAGACATGTCCAGAGTTGCGTAATGAGGATAACAGCACAGGACAAAAAACAAACGCATACATATACTGCAAACGCAATGGAGATTCTAAAGATGTCGTCACTGAATAGGCCTGCCTGTCCCAAGACATTGTTTTATATTTCCAACTGGCAAGCAAAGACTGCAAAGAGAATGTGTATAATATTTAATTTATAAATGAACAACATCTATATAGTCATGTATAGCCTCTAGTGTTTTAAATTATTTTTATTCATTAGAAAGAAGAAAAATATATATAAATATATTTTTTGTCAAGTCTTTGCCCAAAAAACAAGGATGAAAACAAACAAAAAAAAAAACCAGAAAAAAACAAAAAAAAAAACAGCCATTGTTATGGGAGAGTTATAAATGAATGAATTTGCTTTTGTGTCAAACTGTTAATAGCTATAAAAATGACTTTTCTCCCCCCAGGACTTCAAACATTCACTGCACTGCAGGCCTCACTAGTGGTGGGATGGTTGGATAGAGAACATGATTGTCTTGAATTCTGTTTAATGCTTCTGCCACAGAGTATTGTAAGAGATCTGGATAATCTTTATTGAAATTGTTTCTTTTATTTTGCATTGTTTGCCTTATGTGTTTAGCGTCAAACAAACTTTATGAATAAGGTCTCTCTAGAGCAGCTATAATGCATAAACATAGGTGAAGATCGCACATGTAGCAGAATGGCCAGCAATACAATCCATATCCCTTCTGTCCTATCAAACCTACAAAAAGAGTTTAATGATGTGAGGGTTTAACTGCAGAGAAGTTTCCTTGTGTTTTTCATTACGATGCTCATGTTGACTTTAACAGCTGTCAGGTGGCCTTTCGATAACTAGTTGGGGAACTTCTGTCCAGAATTTATAATGCAAAAATCTAGAACGGATTCATGTGATGGGATGCATTGCTCAGAACAAGTTGTACACCATCAAAGCAGAGCTATTCCATCACCCAAATCCTATCAGCACAGTCTATTCACCCCAACAGTTATTCTTGATATTTATAGCATTAGTCAATTTGGGACCAGTTTGTTTTATTTACTGCACATCATTGAAGTATCCTAAAACTCTGAACAAAGAAACTTGTAAAAGACAAACTTTGGTGAATGAAATCTTTATGACTTCTAATTAACATAACCTTCTACATATATTGATCTTAAGACACTCCAAGACTCCAAAGTCATGATTTGAAAGTGTGGTAAAGTAATGGGGTATTAAACATGAATCTGTGTAGTGTTGAGGTGAACGCGCAGAATGTGCTATCTATCTGTGAATTTATATCAGGCATAAATATGTAGAAAAGGAAACTTGCTTTGGGGGAGATAGTGGAGGAAAAGGAGAGACTATTATTGATTAGGAACACTGCTGAAGAGCTGTTCAAAACAATTTGTTCAAATGTGTAGGTCTGTAAGCCGTAGCCTTAGCTTTTTAAGTATGGTGTATAAAAGATCAATGTATAAAATATCTCCTTATTGTTAACATTGGGATACATTTGAGGTTATCCCTACTTGAAAGTGCAGTCCTTAAAGGGACACTAAGCACCCAGACAACTTCAGCTCATTAAAGTGGTCTGTGTGAAGTGTCCCTGGCCCCTTAATCCTGGAAAGGTAATTATTGCATTTTTTTAATTAACTGCAATAATTACCTTTATGGGTTAACTCCACCTCTAGTGGCTGTCTGGTAGGTGGGAAAGCTGGTGGGACATCCGGGTCATTAGCAGACTATTGGTAGCCTGACGCTGGACATCCTTACACTATGCATGAGGATGTCCAGCGTCACCAGAATCCCTATAGGAAAGCATTGTATAATGATTTCTTATGGGGCTGTTCTAAAGCCAGCATGGCCACTGCCGCTCATGCGCATTAGGTATCCCTCGTCGGCTGATGTCGGCGGGAGAAAAGCGATGGTGGACCCCAAGCCAGCACCGAGGGACATCGGTCCTGGATACAGGTAAGTGACAGATGGGGTTTTTAACCCCTTCTGCACCAATGGGGGGCGGGGGGGAGGAGGAGCACTATAGGGAGCTATGGTGCCAGGAAACAACTTTGTATGTGCAGTGTTTAAGTATAAAACGGCTGGAGATGTAATCCACCCATAGAAGCATCATTAGCCAGCCTTGAATTACAGTTACACGTCCACTTCTATGTTTATTCTTTGCACAGACGTTCATTCATTAGCTGAGATCGCTGAGCGGACACTCTCAGTCAATGAATGACTCTCTGAAGCCCTGCAGAACTGGATGCAACCATGTCACCATAAAAGAAGGCTTGGCACCCAGCAGGTCCCAGGTAAGAGGAGAATTGTTAGAAAATGGTTTGCCCCGTTACAACTCCCATGATACTTTGCATGCCTTTAGGCAATGGCTAGCTGCTAGATACGGCCTGCCTAAGGTCTCTCAGCATTCACCACTGTTTTATATAGGACTACCAAAAAAAAAAAGAAAACCCCCCAAAAAACAACAACAAGCATTGATCTTATCACATCAGCGTAATCTTTAGTAAAATTATGGAATCATTATACAGTACATTTCTCAATTCTTCTGGAACATTTTCAGGTACCCGGATCTCTTTCTATAGGTCTGAAAGATTTATATCTGTCTGCCTTTAACAACCAACACTACAATATTATTAAGTCTGAGAATGGGATTTTCCCAGGTAATACATAATCTGTGCTATTCATTTTAGATAAAACAAAGTATCACACGTTCATAAATATATATTTATCAAATATAAACTGAAAAGTGGGAACTTGGAATATATTATATGTATAAAACCAGACTTAAGGATCCACAAAGTCACAAACTGAAAACCTACAGCTCTAGCTTTGTCATTAAGATTAACAAACAAAAAAATGCACACAACTTTTGTTGTCCACACACCCAGTGGTTTCCCTGAATTGAAAGTCACAGTGTAGTTAGAATGTTTCTTTCATATGGTGATGGCATCTAAAGAACAGTCTTATTGGGATGTTTTTTTGGATAGGTAAAATATATGTTGTCTACATAAATAGAGGTTTAAAGGGACACTCCGGGCACCAATACAACGTGCATTTGATAGGATTTGACCACATTATTGTGCTGTATTTTTATTTTTTTGGTATTTCTTTTTTTTGTATGCTTAAGTCTTTATACGTTTTTGATAGATTTTGCAATTATTGCAGAATGCTGAACCATAAGCCTGCCTCGTTACTCACGCCTCCTCATGTCAGAAAGACTTTCTTATCAAAGGTGTGCACACAGTATCAGCACCAGCAACACTGAATGAGCTGCTTTTAATTCACAACTTGGCTTCAGACAGTCAGAGAAACAACAAACAGGCATTGTTATCCTTACTATATGTCTCCATGGGTGTTCTCTCCTTCTAATGCAGGTTGATTTATAGATCAGATCAATCAGTAGTGTCAGTCGCTGAGCAGTGTGCGTTCATTTTTTTTTTTTTTTCTCTAAGTGGGATTAGTGAGAGAGAGAGTGAGTGTGTATGTGTGTGTGTGTGTGTATGTATAGGGGACATAGTGTTTATAGGGGATGTAGTGAGTGTGTGCATATGCACTGTAGTGTATAATGTACTGTAGGTGAACGTGTGTGTGGTGAACCCAGAATGTGTATGGGAGACCTAGTGTGTGTGTCAAAGGTTGCAATGTTGGTGGGGGGTGTTAATATGTGTGTGAGCGGTTCAAGTGTGTGTGTTTGAGGGGTGCAGTGTGTATGTTGGGATGTGTGTATGTTGGGAGGTATGCATTCATTTTCCTAAGGAAGTCTTTTTCTGGAGTGAGGGGGTTTGGCTAAAAAGGTAGACTTATGGTGCAGGATTCTGCAAAATATTTATTTGTTTTATGCAAAAACTATAAAGATTTGAGCATGCAAAAAATACAGCATATTAATGAGGCCAACACCTATCAATGTCATTAAAGTAGTATTGGTGCCCGGGGTATCTCTTTAAGCACAATTGCTTCCACCTTTTACATTTTGTAGACAAGGACATAAGATCACAATGGTGTCCCAACATTCTATGACCATTCTTTATTCTCCCTCAGGCTAATGCCTACTACACGTGTGAATAAATGTGTTTCAGGTGGGTTGAACAAACAAAATTCCTTTTACTCTATGCCTGAACAAATCGATCCATCTGGGATTTATCCTTGGATGTCTGGATTTTGCAATATACCCTCCAAATTAGACTGAGTAAAGACCAGATTTCAGCCTGTCCAGATGTGACCAAACCTTTAAAATCCAGATTCAAATAGTGGAAATACCCATTTAAACAGTGATAACTAAAACATAATATGCAGCTGTGTGCATGTAAATTTGGGTCAACAGAATTTCAAATGATATAGAGGCTATTATTACAAAAAGCTGTTATTGGCACCGTATTAGTACTGGGGAGAATTGGTTTACTCCAATATATCCCAAAAATATTATATATTTTTTTTAAATAGGGTAGTACTTAACCACCGATCTGATCTATATCAAGTAACTAAAGCTCTGCCTCCATCATATAGTTGTTATTTTAAGCTTAAACGCAACTTATCCTTTGCTCTCCTAGGATATTAAACCACTATCCTTATAACTGCAAACCTAACTGGTCATATATGGAGTGGCACACACAATTACTTCTTCAAATTAACTTTGTACATGGCGGCCTAGGCCATCAAAGCTTCACTTACAGATTGTCGCGATATGTGAGGACCCTCCGCAAGATATATGGAAAGAACTCCATCAAAGGTGGAGTAGAGTGATAGAAAGGCAAATATTACTGGATCTCAGAGTGGTTGAGCTTAACGCTAAGAATGAACTAATAAGAATAAGAATGATATATTCAGACAAGGAGAAGAATCAAAATATTAGTAGAAACTATAGCAGAAAGCTAACTGGGTTGTATAGGGTTATGGATACTGGGATAATTTAAAGCCAGGAACAGGCCAGGTCTTCTTGTACACTATTCAATAACAAAATAATTTGTGGTCAAATAGTTGCCAGGTCTAATCACATGAATTACTTAAGTGCTCTGTAAACACAAAAGGGCACGGGGCAATGCGAAACCAAGGCCAAGACACTTCATCTAATGTCAATGATGCATCTGACATGATGCCAACCAATAAGGTAAAAAATGGACGCCAAGATTGTGCCTTGCAGGAACTATGCTGGTTACATTGTAATATTCATAACAACCCCACATCCACTATGACATAGGAAGATTATTGCATAGAGAGTCAATAGATTTACAACAGTTTCTACAAAAATTCAGACAAATCTCAAAATGGCTGTTTAAGGGAATATCGAATACCGGACTGGATTAGTCACGAATTGGAATGAAATATTTACCTAAAGTCGAATTCAAGCCAATCTCTATTTTTTTTTACTCTCAGGCAGGCACATTTTGATTCTTTGTACAAATAAATTCTGCAATGTGGACCCAGGCATAGGTGAAACTACAGCCTGAAATAGAACAGGGCAAGGCTTTTCTATTAGGTTTCCTTTAGCAATGGCCGTAACTAAATACACGAAGACTTGGCAATCAACTGTCACACAAAATCTTCATTTGTCTTTTGTGGCTGGAGGATCTGCTTGAGAATGTCAGCCTTGATTAGAAAAAGCTTAGAATTAGAATACCGTTCACATTATTTAGATTTATTTAGGATTACGAGAGCTACACGTGAGAATACCAGGGTATGCCTTTTAGATTGTTTGCTTGTGGAAACCAGACTGACATAATTAAGCACATACAGTTTTCTCCAACACCAACGTGTATTTAAGTAAGTGGTTTTGACTTTTATGGGAGTATGTGTGTTGTTGATGACCAATATATAAATATTCCCAGCGGACCTCATTTTACTTCCAATAGAAACATTTTGAATTCCAAAATTCCTAAAGTACCTTCGTAAAGTAGAGACATTCTTTCTTTAGCATGTTCTGCTCAGAGATACACACTATATAGTATTACGCAGAGCAACCTGTTTAAAGCAAACTAACTCACTGTCAGGATATAAAGTTATCGGTTATGAGTCAGGGATGATTATACAACGTATAAGGTTAATAGGATTGTCTACCTCTACGGTCAACGTCTGTCAGACCTCAGTACTAGAACTGGAAATTATAATTAACATCTTATTTGTGCTTTAAATTACTTGTCTTTCTCAACCGACACATTATTCTAGATACATAACACATGTGGGGCATCTTCATAGATTATTCGTGTTTATATCATAATTCATGGTATATAGAATGTAATTATATGAGGCCATTACACCAAAGACTGTTTCTACAGTGTACATTAGTTCAGATATTAAAGGTACACTATCTTTTTTTGTTTAGCAAAACCCAGAGGATTCACTAAAACACACATTTAGCCTGTCCTTAAAATTAGTCTTTTACTCCAGTGACTACAGTCCCTCATTGTAATGCATATTCACACAGTACAAATACTTGCTCAGATAATGAGTAAGTAAAACGTTCTTATTATGGCATTGCAATCTGGAGGTGTGGACTGTGCGTGCCTGGAAATCCTCCAGTGTTGTCAAACTGCTTGGGAAACAAGTTTGGCATAAGCCAGGCTATCCTAGCGTCATAACCACAAGAATAAGTTATCGTTTTTAATGTCTACTAACTAGAGTAGTATGGTCCTCATGCTACACTTTAGAGGTGTTTATGAAAGTACAGTAATGGGTTTACTTACATCTCCAATATATTATTCATAATTTCCCTAAAATAATGGCAAATATGTTCATCCTACCTAGAGGACACCTGCAACTTTGTCTTTGTTGCAGTTCCTGTTGACAATGCACACATGCCCTGTGTACAACTTTATGTAAATGGTTTCCCACTGATCAGTTCAGCCTGAATTTAATGTTTGGGGCACTACAATAATAGAACATAATATTATATCTCTATTGAGAGATTGAGAAAATACTGTATTACAGAGAGTGCAATGTGTACTAAGGATAGCCTTGCATGGAGATTGTAAAAGCAAACACAATTCACAAATTCTAAAACACTTGTGAGTGCATAAAAATAAATAAAAATGGAATGTGATAGAAAATAAATTCGGTCAACTGCTCTGCCAAGAGTGAACGATTTTATCAGCCACCCATTTGGGAAGGTTCACACAGGGAGTACTCACCAGTAATTGCCAGTTGTTCAGATGTGATAATCATCTTCTAATCTATAAGATCCAAGGGATTTCCCCACTTCTTATTCTTCGAGAGTCCATCCACTGTAACGTCTACAGAGCAGAGGGAGAAATAAATAAACATGCAGTAAAAGTAATATTTTCACAGTATTTTTATTGTCTGAGCAACTTTTTGAATATCCCAAACATCATTGTTTGCAAAAAATAAGCTTATCTTCAATGTCAATCTTTGGTCCATCTAGACCCAAGACCATTAATCAATAATTCTATTGTTTCTAATATTAATTTTAATAATAAAATTACCAATTGTTTCCAAAATTGTCGTCTGTCAACTTAAATATTAAATAAAACATGAAATTAAATAAAAAAAATAAAAAAATAAAACTACAAATGGCAGTTTGCGGTCACTACAAAATGGCACTTTAACCTTATTGGACACAAGCAATGGAATCGTGGGGGATGTAGGCAATTTTCACTTTAAGGAAACTGAGTTTATGCCAAAATTTTAAAAAATATATTGTATTGGGTTGTTTGGATGACTTTAACAAAAGATACCTATAAGGATATTGAAAGCCCTGAAATTGTTGGTACAGGTTATGAAAATCCTACTTCAAACCCCTTCAGACCTTAATTCTTATGTGTTTATAAGATGCCTCTTGGACCTACCAACGTTCCAGCAAGACATCAACCAGAAGAGTTACAATAATTACCTACGACGATGAAATATGAAGCAAAATGTACAGTGGGTTATTAAAGAAGCCATTAAACTTTTTTATAATCATGTTTATATAAATTCAGAATGCTGTTGTAGATTTTGCTCTTCAAACATTGTTATCCCTTAACCAGGTCATATCTACTTGAAGATACACGGGAATGACACTGTTCTCAAACAGAAAAGTACCATATCAGGATGGAACTTTGTGTAATACATCATTGGATTTATCATGTGTACAGAGTAGATTGTATTTAAACAATGTTTACCCATTTTCATAGGATGGACAGGCTGTATGCAATTTATACTCCTACATGGATCTACTTACCAATATGTCAGACAAGGTCCCTACTGATATACAATATATAATATAGATACAAAAACACCTGTGTGCAGGTAGAAAACACACTTAGTGGGTAATAAATGTAAGAATACAAAAAATTACCCTTAGTCAAAAGTGAAGTAGATGAAAGGACTCCTCTTATGTCCTTAGAACAATATTGATATACTACCAGAAGGCAATCTACAACACAAAATAATAGAAACGGACATAGAATAGTAACGTAATGTATTGGGAATTTGTAGAAATAAATGATTACACTCACAGACCCAATTTGATTGCAGGCATATCATAAATAACGATGTATGGACTTCTCGATTTGTGGAACGTCAATCCCATGTATAAGAGGAAGAATAGAAAATAATAATAGTGCAGAGTATCTTAAATAAAATTAACAGAATTTATTACAAGGTACACTTACAGAAAAGATGTATCAAAAAGGCACATCAAACTCAGCTGAAGCTGCAAACCAGTCCCAGGATCAGAAGAGCAGAATAACCAAATAAGGTAAAATACATTTAAAAACAAATACTCCACATATAAGAAACAAGCCCTACGCGTTTCGTTCATAAAATGAACTTCATCAGGGGCATCCAGTCCTCTGTAAACAAAAATACATAAAACACTCGTCTTTTATAACTACAATCAAATTTGCCGCGAAGAAAATCAGCTGTGCGTGTTACTTCCGGGTTTCGGCTTTGGTGTATTTCCGGATACGCCCCTATTGCGTTCCGGGACTTCTGTCTAAGCCTCACTTTGAAGTTCATCTAATTGAACGGAAGTCCAGACGAATGTGCGTTCCATTTTGCGTTCCATTCTCGGGGTTAGACACATACATCCCCAGAGCACATCGTAATATAAAAAAAACGAAATAAACATATGTGTGATCATATATACAAATATATAGAGAAGGGGGGGGTATCACCTAATTTAAAAAAAGGGGAATAATACATACTAATAATAAAAAATAAATAACCTTTAGGTGACAAACCCAAGTGGATTACACCCTCAAGAAATTCTATTAAATATAAAAATAGTAACGGGAATTCCATTCATCCTTCATTACGTCCATTAAGAGATACAGTTCCCAATAAAGATACTGTCAATCAATCTTCCACCTCTAACTCTAATCCAAGTAGGGATTTTTTAGAGAAGGGGCAAGACCGAAGAAAGGGAGCAATTACGGAATTTTTTCCACCCAGATCTCAGGAATTGCCCCTGACCAATCGTTTTGCCCCGCTCAGGGAACGCTACACCCCAGGGAAGAGGCGGAGATTGAGTGGAGAGATAACTCAAACGAATTACAAATAGAAAGTTTGGGAATTTTTAATATCTCTGGATTTAATTTGACCAAAACAAGAAATTCTTCTTCTAAGTAAGGGATTAAAATTTGTCCCAGATGAACCCCCAAATTGTTTTCAACTCTATGTAGATGCACAGAAATTTGTTAGAAAAATGTCAATCAAAAGATTTTTTATTAAAAAGACCAGTGATGCACTAGTCAATGTTTCATCGAAATGTATTAATGATAAAGAACCTCAGAGATTTAAACCTAAATCTAAATTTTGTCCGAACGAAAAGGGCAGTCAGATCGAAGCTTTTAACAAAATGATAGTCAGGGATTTTGAGAAACTTGGAAGGAATCAAGCTAAGAAGCATAAGAACCTAACTCCAATAGAGAGTAAAACTTTGATGAATTTAAATAAAAGGAAGGAGTTAACTATAAAGAGTGCAGATAAAGGAGGTGGAGTAGTTGTTATGTCAACTGACTACTACATTTATGAAGCATCTAGACTTTTGAATGACTGCACCACTTATGTAAAACTTGATCATAATCCTAATCATGAATTTAATAAAGAACTTAAAAATTTGTTAGATAGTGCAAAAACAGCAGGCACTATTGATGAATCTACGTACTCTTTTCTTTTTATGGAATTCCCTAAGATACCCACTTTTTATTTTCTCCCCAAAATTCACAAATGTAAAAATAGACCTCCAGGGAGGCCAATAATTAGCGGTATTGACTCTTTGACATCTAAACTCTCTGAGTATATTGATTTTCATTTACAAAAATATGCTCAGGGAGCCCTGTCGTACCTGAGGGATACAAAACATCTTATCAAAGAATTAGAGAATATTGAATGGAATGATGATTACATCTGGGTTACTCTAGATGTAACTTCACTCTATACTGTTATAGATCATGATCTGGGTGTGGATGCGGTTAGGAATAATCTACAGCAAGATATCAATTTGGAACCTTCTTTTTGCTCTTTTTTGGAGAAGGCGATTCGCTTTATCCTTACACACAACTTTTTTAGTTTTGATGGAGATTTTTTTCTCCAGATCAAGGGCACGGCAATGGGCACCAAGTTTGCACCAAGCTATGCCAATGTCTTTATGGACAGTTGGGAGAGAACATCTATTTGGTCCAATAATCCGTTTGGTGCAAACTTGGTGCTCTGGAGAAGGTATATCGACGATGTCCTGATGATTTGGCGTGGTCCTTTAGATCTCCTTCAGGACTTCTTCTCATATGTTAATCATAATTCTCTATCCCTTATTTTTACTCCTAAGGTAGGTGTCCGTGATATTGACTTTCTCGATCTGTCTATTTTTATAGATGATCGGAAGATCAAAACTAAGACTTTTTTTAAGACTATTGATTCTAATAGTTTTATTGATATTAAAAGTGGACATCACCCTAATTGGCTGAAAGGAGTCCCAAAAAGCCAATTTGTTAGGTTACGCAGGAATTGTAGTGACCTAGATTCATTTTTTATACAAGCTGGGATCCTCAAACAACGTTTTTTAGATAAGGGTTATACTTCTGAGTCTTTAGATATGGAGATTGATAGAGTGAGTCAAATTAACCGTAGCAATTTACTTTTAAATAAAACAAAAGATCCAACAATTAGGAATCCTATTTTTGACTTTTCCTTCAACACTCAATATAATGGTAGAGCTTTTGACATACAAAGAATAATTAAGAAACATTGGGGACTGCTTCTTGAAGACGAGTTTTTAAGTACACAAATCCCTCAAGCTCCGAAAATTATATTTAGAAAAGGGAACAATTTAAAGCAAATTCTTGCACCCAGCACTTTTAGATCAAGAAAAGATCAGACCAGATGTATGTGAGGTTTCTATACATGTGGGAATTGTAAAAGCTGTAGTCATCGATCTAGTGTCGTAAAGGAGTTTACAAGCACACAAACTCAAGTCAAATTTAAAATTAAAAATAAAATATCTTGTTCTTCCTCTTACGTGGTATATCTCCTCACCTGCGGTTGTGGGATGCAGTATGTTGGAAGAACTGGGAGGAAAGTCAAAGTTAGGTTTCAAGAACATAGAAACAATATTAAAAAAGGTTTATTATCTCACTCAGTACCTGTACATTGTAATAAGTGCTTACTATTTAATTTTGACACTTTTAAATGTGTAGCTATAGAGCAGGTAATTTTAAATGAGAGAGGTGGAGATCTGATGATGGCCCTAAGAAAAAGAGAGGGCTATTGGATTCATACATTGCAAACTATGAAACCGAGGGGTCTAAATGTTGATTTTGATTTGGTTTGTTTTTTATGATTTTATTTTATATTTTTATTTTTATTTCATTTATTTTTATTTATTTTTATTTGTATTTTTATTTATTTATTTTTTAATTTTATTTTTATTTCATTTTTATTTTTTTATTTATTTTTTATTTTTATTTTTATTTTTATTTTTATTATTATTTTTATTCTTATTTTGATATTTATTTTTATTTTTATTTTTAGTTTTATTTGATTATTTTTGTTATTTATTTTTATTTCTATTTATATTTTTTATTATTAGTATGTATTATTCCCCTTTTTCTAAATTAGGTGATACCCCCCCCTTCTCTATATATTTGTATATATGATCACACATATGTTTATTTCGTTTTTTTATATATTACGATGTGCTCTGGGGATGTATGTGTCTAACCCCGAGAATGGAACGCAAAATGGAACGCACATTCGTCTGGACTTCCGTTCAATTAGATGAACTTCAAAGTGAGGCTTGGACAGAAGTCCCGGAACGCAATAGGGGCGTATCCGGAAATACACCAAAGCCGAAACCCGGAAGTAACACACACAGCTGATTTTCTTCGCGGCAAATTTGATTGTAGTTATAAAAGACGAGTGTTTTATGTATTTTTGTTTA